TAGATATATAGATATATATATAGATATATATATATATGCACTTTATTGTGAATGATACACTAAAACACGGCATCAATTAAATGTTAAAGTCTGTCATACAACTGAAAGTTATCTCAGTGTGCATCTGGAAATTACTAAGTGGCTTTCATATTTAGTTATTGTCTGGGGGATCCAAACATAATTTCGGCTTCGGCTTCTCCATTAAGATTTGATATAAACCAGAATCAGTTCAGACTCAAACTCCTCATTTCAGCCATTAGTCTGGAGGTACAGCCGCTCATGGAGGTCATAAGTGATTCAGGGGCCAATCAGAAACCTTGTTATGTTTTTCTTAAATTCATTTAGAGAAAAGCAGCTTCTGTTAGATGCTGTTTGTATAGTGAGCGACAATCATGGCAAATGTCCATCCAAACCTGCAGCACTCCTTCATTATTGAGCAGTTAGACATCCAGCTGCTGTTTCAACAAAATACAGACCCATGCATAGAATGAAAACAGATCATTAACTAATATATGGACACAGTCCATAGACAGCATGCAGACACAGACATCAGTATTATTAAAAAGCCTTTTATAAGTCTTTTGTGTAAGTTATTGCAGGGACATGAATGTACAGGATCAGTGCTGAAGGTTTTTATTTATTTTTTTAGATTTAGAACTGCTTTTAAATTAATAGACCAATGTCAGTTCTGATATTAGAAGAATGGAAAAACATTTCTCTCTCTCTCTCTCTCTCTCTCTCTCTGTATTTCTATTGCTCTCTCACTCTCTTTCTCTCTCCCCACTTTATATATAGTGCCCATTACCTTGCTCATAAATTACATCCCAAACTGAATTACTCTTGCTTTTCGCTGTGCCAGGCAAGTTTGATGAATCCTGAGGCACAACACATCATCTCAACAAATCTGCTCCACACTGTCTTCCACCTCTTCAAACCACTTCAAATCATTTTCATTGCTGTGCTATTAAAATGTGTAATTCACACCTGCCATTTCACCTACAGATGGGTGTGTGAAGCGGTGAATGGAAGTGTATGCGCTTTTACTCAGTGAGAAAACACTGAAAACCCACAGGATGAAATTTACACGGAAGTCACATAAATTTATGCTGCATGTCATGCGCAGTCTGAACTCTGGTCCGAGCTGTCAATCAAACAGACAGCAACAACCGTATTACTAGCAAGCTAGGAGCTTCTCTTCATCCTGCCTTTAGGGAAGTCACTGATGTTTCAGTTTTTTTTTTTTTTTGGCCATTTGCAATTTTCGGATATGCAAAGAAGGGGAAATTTCGACAATAAAAATATAATATCCAATATATAACCAACGAAACAGGCTGTACAAATTACGAAGTACGAATATTTAAAAGAAAACAATAATGACATTTAAAAAGAGACATTTTTTCTCTAAGACCATATCCGCCAACTAGCCTATAAAAAATGAAGGAAGGTATTTATTGATATGTTTAAATTAAAATGTAACTACAATTTTATTTAAAATGTACTGCTCAATATTTAACTGTTTATTTGTGCGCAACATCAAATTTTCCTACAAATTCCATTAAAAATTGCGTGGTTTAATCTGCAATCGGTAAAAATTAACATTTCGAGGTGACATTCAAACTGTTGTCATCATTTCGGGAAAAAAGTACTTGTGTGTGTTGATAATGAACTTTCTCCGTGGCCGGTATAGAGAACATGGAATCAGTGCAACATGACACCACTACACCCTTTGTATTTTTAAGAGAAGTAATTAAACTTTAATCTAAAATGTCATGTGGTGCAACACCTCCAAAAATGTTAATAAAATATTCGTTTTTGGGGAGTTATGACATTTTACATATTGAAGTAACCAGTCATTGTTATAAAAAGGTCAAATTACTGTAATATATATATATATATATATATATATATATATATATATATTACACGTACACACTATATATAGTATCTATATACTTAACCATACTAAAGATTCATCTCATTCACTGATTTCATGGAGGCCTTCTGCTGTTGTGGTCATTCGAAGACTGCTCATGAAATAATCAAAATATTAGGAAAATGTTGTTTAGAAGAAAAGGCATCACATCAAAATGTGCCATGCAGTTTTTTAAGATGGTATTACTGTCAGTCGTTCTGTATTTTATAGACCTCTCTTTACAATAAATAATAAATACAATACAATAAATAAAAATTATTATTATTATTATTATTATTATTGGAAAAGTGTTTTTTCCAAATCTCAGTTGTTTTCATTTTAGAGACAAGAATCGACTGGTTACACTTTTATTTCAATGTTTTCACTCCTCATAACGTGTAAAACTGGTTAATCTGGGGACAGAAATGTAAATAAAAGTACAAAATAATCATTATACACATGGTGTATTTTATAGGACATGTACAGAACCGTGTTGCTTTTGTGTTTTACACATAGACTCGTTTAATTGCTGCATAATAAGAAATATATTTGTTTCACCAAATAAAGAGGTATAAATAGACATGAATTTTGTCAAACATTTGTACGTTTTAGTGTGTAATAGTGTGTCGTCCCTTAGCAAGGAATTTTCGTTGTGCGCAAAAGTTAATATTCAATCTTATTGTAAAGATTGTATAATGGTAAAGCTGGTAAATTACTTCCAGGGTAATACAGTGGGGTAGGAAAAGCGATGGACCTCGGGACCGGCACCCGGAGCAACGAACTTTCTCTGAAAACGAGGGGCATCCCAACCAAAGTCTGCGCTGACGCGTGCGCCATGTTCGCAGCTTCCAGTTCCGCAGAGAGCTGCCGTTTCCATTTGTTACGCCGGTTCTGAAACCACGTTTTCACTTGTGTCTCCGTTAACTGCAGGCTGGAGGCGAGACAGGCTCTCTCGGAGCTGCTCAAATAGCGTTTCATATCGAACGTGGACTCGAGCTGATAAACCTGACTCCGAGAGAAAACCGTGCGCGTTTTCTTCTTGGCGGAGCTGCTCTGTTTGTCCGGGCCATCACGTTGTCTCTCTTCAGAAACGGGAGACATTTGGCTACACGCTCGCTCCTGCTCCTCTTTGTAATCCGGTAGTATGGATGGTGTCAAATGCGGCCGGCGGTCGATCCCATCTTGCACAGGTAGAAGTCCCTTTGTGGCACCTGCAACACAAAATTTCGTCTTATCAAATTGTGCTGTAAAAACACAGTCCGTCCGATCTATTAATAATAATTATATAAAGCTTTCGTGCTTCTGTGTGAACAAAATGCATAACTAATGTGTAAATTCAATAAATGGTTGCAAACACGTTTAGTTTTAATGTGGCACAAAAAGTGCTTTAAATATTCATCCATCATCAAATTCACTCGGTGGGTTTTTCTATTAGGCTAAACATCGCCATTACTCGATACTTTACACAAGAGTTAATTACATTTGAACTCTGACTGTTTGATCGACTGTTGAAAGGTTAACAAGTGCCCTGTTAAATAAACAATACAATATGACTAGCACTGGTGCAAGATATTAATTAAATCGTGTTACATTTAACGCTCAATTGACGAAATGTAGCATTGCCTCTGAAAGCCCGGCATAATCAATTAGCAGACTCGATTAAAATCGGTTAATTATTTGACCTTTCTCCTGTTCACCGAGGCGCGATAATACATCGGATAAAAACACTACTGGAGTTTTATCCAGCGGTGGCAATTGTGACAACATTACAAGACAGTCACCATGGTGACAAAAACAGTTCAGTGCGTTATATACTTTCTGAAGTGAGACGTTTTATAAAAGTTATCTTTTTTACTAAACATCACGAAATCAGAAATGTCTATATTGACCAAGGTGGTAACGATTGTCTCATAATAAAAATACAAAGATATACTGGTGGTAGCGGCACTTACCGAGGCAGAAGTTCAGAGGCTGGTGCGGGTTGCAGGACTCTGGTACACCGGGCTCAGAGCAGTAGCAGTCGACTGAGTCCTCTCCGGCGCTGCAGTCGTCCTCCGATGACACGGACAACGTCCGCTTCCTCGGCTGCGCTTTTGGGCTGCCCTTTCCAGCTGACCGGACTCCCTCGTTGGAGGTGCCCAGAATGGACTGGATCGTGAAGCTTGAAATGGGGGCAGGCGAGCACTTGCTTCCGCTGTCCTCCGAATTATTCATTCTCGCCTCATAACAGTTAAAAAATGTTCTAAAAATGATACAATGCCAACGCAGTAATAAGTTCCGCTATAGAGAGTGTTTTCTTCAAATTTGAAAATGGTTCTTTAAAGCTGTTGGGACGTTCAAAAAAAACTTGTTTTTCGTGGGCTCAAAAGTGTTCGAATGCATTCCTCTCCACTTCCACGCGCTCTGGTCTCAAGGCGGGTGGAACGTGCCCTCATTTGCATGTAGGTAAGACCGGCGCTGGCCAATCACGCGCTCAAAGCGCGCCCGGGAATTTCAACTTTTATAAAGGTTGAGTTCGTCAATGGCTCACGAGAAGTGCAGAGCGCTAGATGAAGATTAACTTGGTGCAAAACATTATACTACAGTGCCTAATTTAGTCATTTTAACGCGAAAAGGATGTCAAAATGCAACAGTGCAAACCCGTTTTTTTGGCTGACTGTAAATTACCTTATGATAAACAATAGTATGTTTATAAATAATAGCCTATGTAATTTTGTTGTAAAATATTATAAACAATAAATGTAAAAAAAAAAGGCCAACATTACCTTTTAATTTACACACTTATATTATATTTAGACAGACAATAAATTCACTGTTATTCTTTACTAAATTTAAAAAGTATGACCATTTTATGGTGACTTTATGGGGAGAGGGGCATTGACAGAATTCCCTGCGCGAACTAGGCTATCACATTTGTATAGATTTTAATTATTTTATTTTTATCCTTGTTATGAGTTATGCACATTTAGGTGTTTTATTTTGCATGATAAGTTATTTAGTTTTTTAGTTTAAGCTTGTTTAGTTATAATAGTTCAATGCATTGTTGTTTTATTGCATGCCTGTTTTTTATTTTTAATACATTTTTAATATTTTTATTATTGATTACAGATGCTGGAGAGGCCGAATTTTGAATAAAAGTCATCTTGTGGCCTTCCATTGTACCACCTGTGCTATTAGTACATTTTACAGTAACAAATTTATAATAATACTAAGAGTCTAATAAATAGGTTGGTATATTAACATTCTATAATTTAAGGACAGAGTTAGGAAATGTAAAATATAGTGATCAAAATGCCATCTCATACAGAGCATAATTGTATTTCGCACAACAAAATAAACAACTGCTGTTTTTTCCACTGTGAATTTACCCCAAATGCTTTACAATGCACTTGTCACGGTCTAGCTGTAGGCTGGTCAACATTATTTTGCCCTTTTCCCTCACAACTTGACTACTTGACGGACGTTTGCCTGCAGAATATCACTGTAACGAGAAATTACAATCAACATTTTAATAGCTTTCTGTGAAGTACTGGATGGATAATTATTCATTGTCATGTACGTGCCTCTGGTTTTCCACTTTGATAAATTGTGATTATTATTGCTTCTAATTTCAGTAATTTCCTGCTTGCTTATATCGACATAATATTTTTCTGTTTACAGGATAACGAGCTTATTTTTTATTCATTTATTGATCTTAAGATTTTTACTTGTATTGGAGGCTCATGTAAACAGGCCTCTGAACTATAATTAAAACAAATGTAACAATAACTTTAATATAAAGCTTGTTTGTCCGCTTCAAAAGATTGTCACAATATTTGACCATGCAATTAAGAGCTTAAATGATCCAGAAGCACTTTTTAAACAGGTTTTACTGTTGACTGTAATCCTCACACAAACCCACTGCACCGAAGTCTATGCTGCTGATCCATAGAGGTGCCTTTGTTCATGACTAGAGTTTTAGGCATCTCAAGCACATGCTTGGAGTTCTCAAGTTCATGCCTACAACAATAACCAACCTCATAATCACAAGTCATCTGAATCCATGGTTTAGTTCAAAATCATATATCTTATTAAACAGTCGTTTTAAATTCCACTAGTCTTGTGCTATAAATGGCAAATTGGTCAAATAATCCAACACGCAGTCTAGGAACTAATAATGGATCCTATCTCATTTTTCTTGAAAATAATAAACTCATTCCACGTCCATTATCTCCGTTTAAGAATTAATTTGATCATTATGGTGGGCTAATCTACTGCCTCTGCGGGCCGGCTAGAGCGGGCAGGACCCTGTTTAATTGATTGACTAATTGATTGGGGGTGTGCGCTCGCCCTACCCCTGACTCGTGTCTCGAGGGCAGCTGTGGCTCTGCCACATTAGCTCTCGTTAGCGTTTTCTAAAGGCTGGCGACACTTAACAAATGCTCTGGCTTTGTCGTGGTGACAGCGCGCGGACACCTAATGGACCAGAGGGAGCCAGGGTTGAGCGATCCCGACTACAAATTTCAAAGGTCGGGAATAATGCCCTGCACACATGAGTCTCCCAACCATAGACTAACTGGGCCATGCCAGTTCAAAACAGCTACACTTTTCTTTTCCTTTCTTTTTTTTTTTTTTATTATTATAATTATATTTGTATTATTTTTGTGATGGAAAATATAGATTTAGTAAAAATAACCTACTAGCAAGAACTTTTTATCTTAAAAGATCCATAGCCATAAGCAGAGTGTTTATTAACCACTGAGGAATCTTAATTTTGAAGAGCGTCTGTTTACAGTGTACCTATGGCTAGAACGAAAACATATCAATGGGTGTTAGTTTGGTCTAGTTAAGACCCTGGGAGTACGACACGTTCACCATATACACGATGATGGAAACGATGTGGTAGAAGTGTCACAATCTGCAACTGTTTTGAACGGTTGTTGAAGAGACCTATTGTGAGCGGCCATATGCCCACATGTAGCCATTTAGTGCGTAAAATATGAGGGTCTAGTTCACAGCGGCCCTACGATTTATGGCGCATTCACATAAGGCGTGAAATCCGCAATGATCTTTAAAGAGCCGGTTTTATACGCTGCGCTTGTCAGCGTCAGCCGAGGCAGGATGGCTTAAAGGCCGTTTAGACATATTAAACAAAAACAATAGGCCTACACCAGAAATGTAGCCCCCTCACCTATTATATATTCTACATGTTTGGGGAGGAGGGAGTGATATTATCACAATTTTCTTTGAAAGCTGTTTAAATAGGTTTGAAAAAGAGCATTAGTGCGTGTGTGCTGTTAAGGCGCGTTTAATCCAAAAAGTTGTTTCTGTTATTGATTATGAGCAATTTTTATCTATGTGTTTCACAAATACCTAGACAGATGTACCGTGATGAACACCCAGCGATTGTGGGACAATCTGTCACGCGTTCACAAAGCTAAACATCTTTAAAATCCGGCAGAACAGGCGTTTTTGCACGTGCTGTCAGTGCATGCGGCAGACAGTAATGACCGAACATACACATCGAGCTCTGGCAAAAATGCTTTCCGCTAGAAAGACAGATGAAGTCATGGACGCCTTTGATCTGAAAATCAAGCTTCGATAAATATTAAACAAAGGGCCCTTTACACGTGTGTATTATGATATATGGCATGTCCAACTTTAAGATAAGGAAATTACCAGAGAAAATTATATCAATAAATTTTCTAAGTATAAACGCTGATTATGTTTCGATTTTCATTCAAGATTCTGAGGCTGGTCTTTTATTTTTTCTCAAATGGGTTTGCAGAGAGAGAGAGAGAGAGAGAGAGAGAGAGAGCAAGCAAGCAAGCAGGCGGGAAGCTCAAGCCCTGGAGGTGTACAATTTATGTAATCTACGGCTTGGAAATGAATTGGGTAATTTATTGGAAAACAGAAAGTCAAGAAGATTGGATCAGTATAGTTCAACCAAGGGCTTCTATTCATCAAGATCCAATTAACAACCTAACCATTGAGTCTTAATGGGTTTCCAATCTACTGCTCTGATATACTCATCAATCCCTAAGGGAGAAATTAAGCGAATCGACCGCCCCTCGGCGTTGTGGTGTCATTCCTCTCCGCAACTATATGTCAAATTAAAAACACAATTAAAATTTAAACTGTTTCAATCAGAGACTGCCCCGCAACCTATGTTTCACTTAATAGAACTTTGATGAAAATCTGATGCTCGCTTTCAATCACAAAGGCAAATGGGAAAGGTGGGGCAAAAAAGAAGATATCCTTTTCCCTGAATAACACCAAAACATTTCGAGAAAGTAATGAGCAAAGATAGGCCCGCTCCCTCTCAAGCGTTATACACGGGATTGAGTTCACGTTCTCGTCGTCTATTGTGGGTAAATGTGCTTTGTAGAGCGCTGAAAAACATTTTCCCCTACACAGCGAAAGATAATTCAATAGGGCAGATGATAGTCCATTTAGTCAGCCTCATCCTGTGACGCAGTGAGCTGCTATCCTTTCCGCTCGAAAATGTGAGGTCGGCTAATGTAACTCGGTATTGTGTTTTATCGAAATTGTTAAATCACCGTTCCGTCAGTTTTGAATAGCCCAGGCTTTGATTAGCTGACAACCCCGTCATATTCACAAAGAAAACACTATTGCGCAAATAGGAATAATCACATATAGCCAGAAAGAGATGACTTGTGAACAAATTATGGGAGGGGATTGTTTAAATACCGGTTATATGTACTCTTTGTTCAAACTCTTGTTCTTCTATATGCTACTCTCTGTCTTCTATGTTAATGCGCAAAGAGCATTTTATCTGTTTACCCCACCTCCCTTCTTTGCATAAAGATATGGTCAAATGGAAATTATCGAGTGATAGGCTATATATTTTTTCAGTTTATGACAGTGGATCAAGGTCATCAGTAAGCCATCAGGAAAAAAAGAACAGTTAACAATGCCCTTGATTTGAAACAATATTTTACAGACGTTACCCGATCAATACTCGACAGGCGATAATGCCTCTGCGATCTATTAATTCACGGTAATGGGCTCGTGCTGAGCTAGCATTATATTATACGTCAATATAGGAGTTATGATTATTAGGCGGCGGTATTTGAATGTGTTCTTGGCTGAGTGCTTAGACCCAACGCAGAGTTGATTTCGACTTTACAGAGGACGAGTGTAATAGGAAGACAAATGCTTGTCGATGAGCCTGACTGACCCATAAAGTTCTCTCGATACTGGTCCATGTTTATACCATTTTATACATTTAGTTTTCGTAATAGGCTTATATTCAAACGCACGACGGAAATAGCCAACATGTTGCCTGTAGAACTTCTGTAGGCTAATTGTTGTGACAAACTGCTAAACTTCATTTAAATCATTTAAATATTTCTAAAAATAACAATAAGCCTCGAATCTTAAGCCTTTAATTATTTGAGGTATCTGAGCATTTTAGACGAATCGTTTTAAAGAAGAATTGTTAATTATTTGTTGTTATT